GGCGTCCCGGGCGTGATGTGCTCCTCGGGGCCCGGGAGCCCCCGCCGGCGGCATCCCGACGGCAGCGAGGTCGGCCTGTGCTTTCCCGGCCGTAGCGCCAGGGTGCAGTCTAGGAGCCCAGAATCCGCTGTCGTTGTCTAGGACTTGGTTTATTAAATGTAGATATCAGCTAGAGGTAAGTGAGGTGACAGTGGCTATCCTGAGAGACCCCCTTAAAAAGTCATAGGAAACGTTTGGTTGATGCCTTGTCTTTAGTACAAGCCAAGATCTGGTTAGGACCGTCTGTTGTTGATGTGCTGTAACTTGGGTGTACCGTGTAACTTAGAGCTAACACATTTGTGAGCCTGAGGCCTGTGCTCCTCCATGTTTCAGAACTTGAAAAATATTAGGTAGCGACCTTTTTTTAAACAGAGGTGATCAGGCTGTGTTATTGCAGTTTCACAAAACCAAGTCTTTTGCTGTTCATATCCTTGTACTAACATATATGTGGCAAATTGGATTAAGGAACAATTCCAGATTTCAGTTAATCATTCTTGTTTTGGTGTATAAATTTTATCATTAGTCTTATCTAGTTTGCTGCATGACTACGTGAATGCTTGCATTAGCATCAGCGTGCAGAGGGCAGCATTAGAATATGTACGAGCACCATGTGGAGGATGGGGCTGTTTCTTCCAGCAGCAGTGCTGGTGTATACCTGTTTAAAATGATTGTGAAACTCTGGCACTAGCTGGACATGTTGTATGGAACAGGGGAAGAAAGCAAAGCGGACTGCCCCTCATGCATTTAAGATGCTTACAACCACCATTCGGATGTGATCATCTGCATCTGTGCTATGCTCGGACTGTGCAAATGACAGCAGAGCAAAGATGAGATGTCAGAGCACATCTTCTGCTATAGTAACTAAGCATGTACAGGTAGTAAATCAGGCAAGAATCACATAGCCACTCTGGCCTAATGCAGAGAGCTGTGGGCGTGAGATCATCTGGGTTCATCTCCTGATTGTGTCACTCGTCCATGGGACTTGTCCTTTCTGCATCTCAGTCACTTCATACTTCTCTGCCCCACAGAAAATAGGATATTTATCATCTTCATAAAGTGCTTCTTTGGTCATCTGATAAAAAATGCTATATAAAACTAAGCTATTGAAACAACTACTTTGGGTATTTATTATTTACAAGCCTGTGTGAGAGCTCAATAAACTTGTAAAATAAAAGATTTTTTAAAAATAATAATAAATACTAACAAGTGTCATTAGATGATAGTTAAGATTTTCTTGAGGCCACAATATCCCGTGGGTTCCTCAAAATCAAAAACATAGAATAAAAAGCTCTCTGTTGAATCTTTCTGTAGCAGATAGTAGCCGCAGGGAAATAACTGCGTGTTCTTGAGCTTCCCAGTCTGAATTACAAATGGCAGTATTATCAGGTAGCAGTTTCACAGGCTCTGGTAATGTGATGTGGTCAATGGATGCGTTTGAGAGTTATGCAGGGAAGTGATTATGATTTCAAATTTGAGACATGGCCCCTTTGCCTGTATGCAATTGTCGTGGTTTAACTTCAGCCGGCAACTGAGCACCACACAGCCACTCGCTCACTGCCCCCCTCCCCGTGGGATGGGGGAGAGAATCGGAAGAGTAAAAGTGAGAAAACTCGTGGGTTGAGATAACAACAGTTTAATAACTGAAATAAAATAGTAATAATAATAATAATAAT